ATCAATCCCAACATTACAAAAAGGTACAAAAATTAAAATCTGGCCCTCAAACTCCACAACAGGAATTAAGCAACCTCACCTTCAAGGTGCTCAATAATAGCGAAAAATCTGCCCGGCGGCAGCTTATCTCAGAACTACAGATGCTTGCCTCTTCCATAAGACAAACCCCATACTCTCCACCGGCTCACAAAGATTTCAAAACACCCAGACTGCAGCGCGTCCAGCCGCCCCTCCTGGACCTTGCTTCAAGTGTCGGAAACCTGGCCACTGGGCCAAGAAATGCCCGCAGCCCGGGATTTCTCCTAAGCCCTGCCCCGTCTGCACGGGGGACCCCCATAGAAAGTCGACTGTCTGACTTACGTTGCTGCTCCCAGAGCTCCTGAAGCTCCAATCCTCGGCTTGGCGGCTGAACACTTAACGCTGCCTGAGCATCTTGGAAGCTCCCTGGACCATCATGGATGCCAAACTTCAGTTAACTTAAGGTGGAGGGTAAGTCCCTCCTTAATCCCTTCTTAATCAACACGGGGCCTCCCACTCCACGCTGCCTTCTTTTCGAGGACCTGTCTCCTTGGCCTCCGTAACGGTTGTGGGAATTAATGGCAAGGCCTCCAGGCCTCTCAAAACTCCCCAGGTCTGGCGTCAATTAGGCCAGCACTCCTTGCCACATTCTCTCCTAATCATCCTCACTTGTTGAGTTCCCCTGTTAGGCCGAGATATCCGAGCAAAATTATCTGCCTCCTGAGCTATTCCTGGGCTAGATTCACACCTCATTGCTGCCCTCCTCCCCAAACCCGCACCTCCCTCAATATCTCCCCTTATGTTCCCCAACCTTAACCCTAGGGTGTAAAACACTGCCTTCCCATCTGTTGCTACAAGTCACTCACCCCTCACCATCCCCTTAAAACCTAACTACCCTTACCCTGCCCAGCCCCAGTACCAAATCCCACAACAGGCTTTCAATGTAAAACCTGTTATCACCCTGTATTGCAACATGGACTTTTAATTCACCCTCCTGCTTCTTCAGCATCTATACTCAAAGGGGTATTGTGTATCCCCTTCCAAAGCCCAAATTTCTTCCCCGTCTGTTATAATCTTTCACCAGCATACACACGCCCTTCCTGCCAACTGTATCCAATTAATTTCCCAAACCCCAACCCCATCCACCAAACAACAGCTTCTCTCCTTCCTGGGTGTGGTTGCTACTTTTACCTGTGGATACCAGGTTTTGCTATTCTAACTAGGCCATTGTATAAACTCACTAAAGAAAACTTATCCAACCCTATTAATCCTAAATCCTTTCCTCACTCCTCGTTTCGCTCCTTAAAAAACAGCTCTAAAAACTGCTCCCTCCCTAGCTCTCCCCAACCTGTCTCAACACTTTTTCATTATATACTGCTAAAATCCAGGGCTGTGCAGTCGGAATTCTCACACAGGAGCCAGGCCCATGGCCTGTAGCCTTTTTATCCAAACAATTTAACCTAACAGTCCTGGGCTGGCCCTCATGACAACACGCAGCAAGCAGCAGCTGCCACCCTAATACTCTTAAAATCCCTCAGAATCACAGGCTGTGCCCCATTTACCCCCCAGCTCTCACAACCTCCAAAGTTTTCTCTTTACACCTCACACACTTTCAGCCCCTTGCCTTCTCCACCTTTACGCAGTCGCCCCTACTACTTAAACCACACCTCAAAAAGTCTGTTTCTGTTATTTTCTGTCTAACCGTGCTCAAATTCACTGTACTCATTTACTTTTACATGCCCTGCTTTTGTTTAAGTTGCCGGTTTACACGTTTCCTCCAGGTAATTACAGCTAATATTTCACTCAATCTGGCTCCCGTTCTCTGCTCAAACCCAATCTTGTTAATAAAAGTGAGTGGTTACTTATAAATACCACATGCGTCCTCACACACCATAAAAACAAAAGCGCTCCCTCCACACAGTTAACCTTCTCTAATACTCCTTCTCCTTCTCTTATTTAAACCCTGTGTTTTTCCAATTAATCTCTCAATTCCTATAAAATCATATACAAGCAATAACCAGTCAATATGACAAAAGCTCCTTCTAACAACCCCACAATATTACCTCTTTCCCCAAAATCTCCCAGCAGTTTAAATTCTTTCCCATTTTTAGGTTTCCACCCTGCCCCCAATCCTGCTGGAAAAAGCCTTGAGAAACTTCGCCCTCACCCCCTAAAACCTGTTATCAACCCCTCTTCTCTAATTCTTTCTCTCCCTATATAAAAAGACAGGTATATCAGGTCTCCATATGCAAGTCTGGAGCCTGAAAGTCTGAAGTCTGCTTGCCTGGCCTGAAGTCTCCCACCCCCTGCCTGAGTTAGCCATTGTCCCTAATCGCCCAGCAGAGCTTCCCACAAGTCCCTCACCCAACCCTGCCATCTTAACTGTTCTTACGATAATGTAAATACCTCTAACCCAACCCTGCCATTGTAACTGAGTGTGTATACTCCTTGCCCCTAACCCCTACCACTGTAACTGAACTTACTCTGTAACACCCCCATCCCCCAAAAAACTACCCAAACCTATAAAACCAACTCCTATCCCACTGCCCTTTGCTAATGCCCTTTTCGGCCTTAGCCCACCTGCACCCAGGTGAATAAACAGCCATGTTGCTCACACACACACACACAAAAACAAAAACAAAAACAAAAAAACAAAACAAAACTGAAGGATTGCTTTAAAATATTACTGGAAAAATGGTAGGTTTGATGAAAGTTAAAATATCATTTTCACATGAAAAGATATATTAGACATTTATTTTTAAAGTTAAACAAATTAATAGAATGACAAAATATGTAAAGTATATAAATTGTTACCTAAATTGGACTGTGTAACAGACATCAAAGACGTCAATGAGAATAGAAAATTATATCCTAACAGTAAAAATCACTGGGAAAAAAACATAAAATATATCTTTATGCAAATATTTTAAATATTTCTCTGTCTAAAAATATCTACTGTGAAGATATTAGAAGCCAAATAACAAATTGAAAAGAAGTTATTACCACAAATATAACAAAGTCTCCATGTTCCTGACCTGTAAAGAACTTCAACAAACTGATAAGAAAAACGTGAGCAAGTCACTTAAACAAACTAAAATAAACAAATATTATACCTTATCAATTAGTGAAGACTATTTATATGTAAAATTTAACATGAAAAAAGATGTAGTGGTTAAGGACACTTATATGTTGCTGTTAAGAATGCAAAATATTTAACATTTTTTAAAAACCAATTTGTCTTTTCATATAAAGAGTACTAAAAAGATTTTTAACCTTTGTTTCAGTAATTTCATTCATAGGAATTTTCTATAGAAAAAAAAGTCCTACATCCAAGAGATTGACATTACTGATTTCAAACACAGACACACGACAATGTTAAAGGTAAAACCATGATAGGTAATAATGTTACAAAACACCCATATGATGTAATGTTATACTATCACTCAACAGTATTTTCAGGGCCATTTATTCTGTAGGTGTTAAACTTATTAAATACTTATTATATGACACATGCTGATTATAAATATAAAGATGCCTTATATTTATATTTACTAACTTGTTTAATCCTCACAACACTACAAAGTAAGTCTTATTGTTAATGTCAATTTACACTTTACAGACTTGCAAACTTGCAGACTTGGGCACAAACAAGTTAAGTAATATGCTCAAAGTTATAGAACGAAGTGGGGTGTATTTTATTCTAACTCTGGACGCTGATAATAGACCCTGGACTCTTTGCAGTGCTGTATACTGCCATTATATACTATAGGGAAAAATAACCATATGCTAGTAGGTTTTAAAAATCTGTTTTACACACACATATCAAATTAGTAAAATGCATGCCTGTATTAAAATGGAAGGAAATTCATATAAATTTGTGTAGGAACTATCCTTACTCAGCCTTGCCTTCCAAACATGATATACCACTATACTTTCTGAACCTAGTGTCAGTTACTGTTTTAAATTATTATAGAATTGACTTAAAAAGTGTTAGCGATCTTCAGACAGCAATATCCTCCAAAACAGTGTCATTTAATTAGCCATAATATTTTAAATTGTTTTTAAGGTTCAAAATGCAACTCACAGCTTTTGTTGACACCTTTTGTTTTCACTATTCTTAGACTTACAAACTGATAGTAGTGCAGCATAATTAAGCTGGTGAGAAAATGCATTATGTTGTCCTCTCCTTGAGCACAAACACACAGACACACTGACTCATATATCCACACCCACCACACGTGACCACTGCAATTGTTGGAATGTTATAAGATAACCTTGGATAATGGAAAAATCACTATTTTGCTTGTTTTTCTTTATTAGCAAGAAATAAGCAGAGTTATTTATCATAAACTTTGCTTATAGACTGCCTTCACCTCTGTTTTCTTCATTTCATTAATAATTGAATTTTAGGAACTATAAAATATCGCCATGTCAAAAACCAACAAAAACAAACAAGCAAAGACACTTGTTGGAGTGTTTCATGTGGCTGATGTTTAGAAAGAGAAAAAAAGAGTCAGTACAATGCAAATACAAGCAAACTACTACCAGTTGAGGCATTTGACAAGAAGTCCATATAATCTTTTAATAAGATCAGTTGGTATAAATTTGTGCAAATCTCAAGACATCTCCCCCTTTGATGTTTGAGTTTTGCTTGGAACTTTCCTTTCTCTGGTTCTTTTCCTTTCTCTGATCCAATATATACTTCCAAGAGTAGAGGTCATGTCCCAAGGTGGGACCCATTTAACTAAGTACCATCCTGGAAAAATAAAGAGTAAATTTTATATAGAGTGAAGAGTAATTTTAGATAATATAAATCATGCCCTATAAATTACTTCATGGAAAGAAGATTGAAAGAGCATTTGACAAATCCAGTTACATTCCTTTACTTTTCTGTTAAATGCTATACTCTGAACTGTATTAATTTACCATTAGTATTTGATTCATAACATGAATTTTCTGACTTTGAGGAGAAATAATTTTGGAAGGTAGCCAGGAGATCTCCCTAGAGCGTGGAGTGTGCCAGCAGCATGTATTTTCCCAGGACCCTCCTCAAGGCCCCCATGACTTCCTTATTTCTCAGGCTGTAGATGAGGGGATTCAAGGCTGGAGTGACAATCGTGTAGAAAACAGATATGATGTTGTCTTGTTTGGGATTGTGGAAGGAACTGGGCAAGACATACATGAATGTGGCAGCTCCATAGAACATCCCAACCACAGTCAGGTGGGAAGAGCAGGTGACAAGGGCTTTCTTCCTCCCCTCATTTGATGGCATATGGAGCACAGTGAATAAGATTAGTGTGTAGGAGGCCAGTATAGCAGCAAGAGAGGGAATCAGGAAAGTCACACCCATCACATATACCATGAGCTCATATCTGGAGGTATCAGCACAGGCCAACTTCAACAAGGGTAGGATCTCACAGAGCAGATGCCTGATCTTCTGGGCTCTGCAGAAGGGATAGTGCATGGTATACAGGGTATATACTAGGGCACTTAGGGATGCCAGGATCCAGGATGTGGCCACCATGAGCCAGCAGACTCTTGGGCTCATGAAGGTCATGTATTTCAGAGGATGACAAATGGCCACATACCTGTCATAGGCCATGAAGGCCAGTAGGAGGTCCTCAGCGCCACCCATTGTCAGTGCCAGGAACATCTGAAGGGCACAGCCTCCAAAGGAGATGGTGTTTACTCTGCGCAGAAAGTCTGCAAGGGCCTTGGGAGTGACAACAGATGTGAACAGAAGGTCCATCAGAGAGAGCTGCCCAAGCAGGAGGTACATGGGCACGTGGAGCCGGGTTTCCAATGTAATGGCCAGGAGCAGCAGGCCATTGCTGGTCAAGGCCAACATGTATAGGACAGTAATTGTAGCACAGACCACTTCAGGAGACGCACTGTCATTCAGAATTCCCACCAAGATGAAGGCACTTCCCAAGGTGGAGTTCCAGAGCTCCATGCTGTGGCTTCTTTCATTACCTAGAACAAGATGGATACTCCATGAATTTTTGCCAAGATGAACTCTAGTTTTGTAACATCAGGGGCTCCGTAGGACATGAATCAACTGAGATAATACCGTTTCCACTGATCATTGGCTTTTCCTCTTGATTTCTGAATGTCTTACTTTTTTCATAGTATTTTAATAAAAGATCCATTGAAATGGAGAACAGTAATAACTAAACATTAAGAGATACATAAAATCTTATTTAAGACATTAAACCTGAACATGTATCTTTCCAGAAAAATTAAATTATCTTTCTCTTAAGATTAAAGAAATATTCTGCCACACACACCCTAGATTGTCCTTGGACATATTCAGTTTTCTTCATAGACCGATTTTGATATGAAATTCCAAACAGATACAGAGATTGGATTTCAATAAAGCACTTTCCCTCCTTCTCCGTAGAGCTAAGAGCCACATTTGTTTGCAGTACTCAAGGCAGTAGATGAAAGCCTCATTAGTAGACTAAAACTTGTCCACCTGAATTACCTCTCTTAGCCAGCCCTACAGAAGCTTGAGAGAGAAGGGATGATGGACTGTCTGTTTGAGACAAGAAAATGGTGTGTTTGAGGAGGTGTTGCATTTAGAGCTAAATACTTTAGGATCAATGCAAACATGTTTATTTAAAACAGGTTAGCTTGGAAGGACTCAGAAATATAATATATGAGGTCCTTCCTAGGAAGAGTGGGATATTTGTGTTTGGGAAAAATGGTGAAAGGGAACAAAAGAGCATCTATTTTATGCTGTAATCATGCTGAATAATTTTAACCTCTATCCTGCCTTTGACCAGATGTTCACTCTCCCTTCTGCAGGGCTAGAACATTTAAACTTGATAGAAGGATCATGGTGATAGAGGAACTCCTTTTCTGGAAAGCAGCTGTTGGCATTGTGGTACCCAATGCTATGGAGAAGCCAAGGAGGACAAGGGCCTAAGATTGATAGGAGTCTGTGTGCATCATGAAACTGGACAGATAAAGCCAACTCTGAACATGCAGTTAAAGATTTTGAAATGAAGCATTTTTCTATAAATCATCTCTCCATATTATGGCATCTATGTTTTAATATTTCACTGGTTTCCACTGACCTTTTATGGAGCCATTAGTACCTTAATGGTATGAGAACATGTAATGGGCACATCATCATGTTTTAGATGGCCCATTGAGGGATAGGCATCATCTGATAGATGCAAAAATGCATTCCCAAAAGGAAGCATAGCACACAGGGTCTAAAGACAAGTATTGTGATTTCCACCAGGAAGCAGATACCCATGCCTGGGCCGTAGCACAGTCCTTATTGGTTCTCTTTTCAGGTTTGGAAAATTAAGAATGCACAAACTGGAACAGGCTATGAAGCCCAAATATTATGCCAGGAAATCTGGCAGACAGAGTAGTTTAAGTTCTCAGGATATGCTTTGGACTCCGTTTTTCCTACACAACTTGCCTAGAAGCACACCTTTCCCTGAAAGAGATACAAAATCCTTACCTCAGGTGGTGAGAAGCTGAGCCATCTGACCACTCAGACTTTCCTAGGGATTGTTTGAAGGTCAAGGATGTTCCAGTCGAAATGGGAAGAAAGTATGTGGTTTTGTTCAGCAGTATTCAGTTGGTTTAATTTTTGCCAAGTTGGGTTAATTGTCTGAAAAGTCCTAGTGAGATCAGACATTAGGGCCCTTCTATTCCTTCCACTTATCTGCAGGTCTACCCTAGAGATGGAAGTGGGTGCAGAAAGACAGCTAATACAGAATTTGGGTAGTTTCCTATACAGGAAGAAGATTACTTTCCTGTTCTCCTATCTGTGAAGAATTAGTAGAAACTACTACTTTCATACAGGTTCCCAGGGAGAGACCCCTCTAGCCCTAGAGCAGTTACCAGACTGACTTCTTGGATTCAGATACTCAGCCTTTACTTAATTCTTGCTGGGGTCAGGGAGCAAAGATAAAGGCTGCAGGGTCCTGGAGGAAGTAGATATTGAGCCGATATTGAAAGAGCTGCCCAAAGAAGATTATTGTCCCCTGCCTCACTCTCCCTGGAGCCAAAGGTGAGCCAGAACCTTGTCCTGAGAGACGCCGCCCTGTCTTCTGACCCGTAATCTTTTCCCTTTATTTTACCCTTATGTTCCAAGGGACTTATCATCTCAGCTCAAATGGCCTCCCTGGAAATGTTGGCCCAGGACCAGGATGATAATTAATCCTTGTGGGTGTTTCCTGGCCTGGAATTCCTGTATTCTTCCTTCACTAAATAAGCTCCAAGGCTCTGTGTTTCTATTCCACAAGCAAAGAACTGATGGCTCATTTCTAAATTAACTAAATAGAGCAGGACACAAAGCCTCCTTGTGTGGCCAGCCCTCTGTCCCAGAATATAAGGTTGATTTCCTTACTTATGTGGCACACTGCTTCCTTCTTTATGGTCCTTTTACCCTGGACTATTTCCTATTCAATATGACTGCTCCCTGAGGAGTCTAAATGTGAGGTCTTCCCTTCATTGACCTTTGGCAATTCAATATGGCTTATGTGTCTTGGTGTTACTGTGTTCTGCCACCAGTGATGCTTAAAGAGTAAATGGACAATTTTCCAAGTTCTAGAAAGGAAAACAAAAAGGAATTCATGGAGTACTGAACTTATAGGATATCAATATCAATGAAAACATTTTATATTCTCCCAGAAATAAAAGACAGATTAGCCACTAAGTAAAGACAGCTAGATAATAATGGACTATCAATAGCAGCAATAGGACAAGGAAGAAATATATTCAAAAGTGCTGAAGAAGTGTAACTACACACCTAGAATTTGAGGCACAGCTGAGCCATCATTAATGAATTAGGTCTAATTAAAAATGGAATTAAAAGTATTTATCCCCAAACACTCTCAATAAAATAATTTTGGCAAGGAGAAAAGTGGTGCCTAGGAAATGTATACAAGGAGAAACAGTGAACTTGGAAGTTGATTCAATAAGTGAATTGTCAAGTTTAATTCTTCAAAAACAAAATATGTTTATATTTTTTAAAGAGTCAAACCAAAATTCTTCACAAAAATAATAACATGAGTGGAATTTTCCTATGGGTACTTGAAGTCTGTAGAAGCAGAATATTAGAAGCTTCATACTCATTTATTTAACACTATAATTTTCTGTTTTCACTGTTCATTAAAGTACAGTCTACATATGGTAAAATTGACCTTTTTCAGTATACAGTTTTGCAAGTTTTGACAAATGTATATAGTCATGAGACCACCACCAAAATCAAGACATACAAATTTCATCAGCCACAGAAATTTTCAGGTGCCTGTTTGTATTCCTCCCCACCCCCACCCGCCCCTGCCAACTGTCTGATCTGTTTACTGTCACTATTATTTTGTCATATAAATGACATCATACATTTTGAGTCTAACTTCATTCACTTAGAATAATATGTTTCAGATTTATCCATATCTTTTATCTACTAGCGGTCCTTTCCCATTTAGTTCTGAATAGTATCCAACTGTGAGAATGTATCATCGTTTGTCCATCCATTCACCAGTTGAAGGACATTTCTGTTTTTTCCTATTTTGTTGATTATAAAAAAGCCATTATAAACATTTATGTACAGGTTTTGACATGAACATAAATTGTCTATTCACTTGGGAAAAGATGTCAGGGTAAAACTGATTGGTTATGTGGTTAAGTGTATGTTTAGGTTTATAAAATACTGACAAACTTTTTTGTATGGACTAAACCATTTTGCATTCCCAATTTTATTTCCATTTTGCATTCTTTTAAGCTGTGAACTATAGGCTTTTTTAAAATTCTAACTCAAAATGAATGAAATATTGCCTGAGGCCTTACATTTCAAGTCTTCCCAGTTAATATGCAACAACAACAAAAAAAAGAGTTTTGTAAAGGAAACAGGATTATTTATGCAGATAAAGAAGGAGGTACGATTCAAAACAGAAAACTGTCTAAGAAAACACATGCATGCATACATGCTTTGAGTTAGAGACTGAAGGCATTATCATAATTAAGTGCTGTCTAGTTAGGAACATTGAAAACATTCTTACAAAATTGCTTAAAATTTTTTTGAGATATGTAAATTATACAGATTTACTAAATGAGTTTGCGCTTCAGAGGAAGTCATGCCCTTGGGAGTTGAAATGCACTTAAACCTATGGGATGATGAAACTGCCAGAGAGTATTCAATGAGAAGAAAAGGAGCCTTGCAATGGAGCCACAGGCTGCTTCAATACTTAGATGCCATGTTGAAGAGGAAAAGTTGGCCAAGTAAAGACTGAGTCCAGGGGAGTACTTAGAAAACCTATTGGTCATAGTAGCCTGAGAGTAAAAGATGATGCTACCAAAAGAAGAGAATGATCCAATGGTGCCAAATGTGGCTGAATGTGTGAGTAGGATGAAGATAAGGAAGAGATACTGAGTTTGCTATAGGAACATCATTGCTGACTTTGACAATTGCAACTGCAGTAATGTGGGACTGAGGGGAGAGAAGCCTGATTACAGTGGTATGAGCCATGGATGGTAGAAAAGGATGTGGAAACTTTGGGTATATACACATCTTCAAGATGATTTGCTCTGAGAATCGGGGGACTTGTAAGGGAAATGTAATTTCTTTCTTTTTTGTTATTGCATTTTAGGTTTTGGGGTACATGTGAAGAACATGCAAGATTGTTGCATAGGTACACACAAGGCAGTGTGGTTTGCTGCCTTCCTTCCCCTCACCTGTATCTGTCATTTCTCCCCATGCTATCTCTTCCCACCTCCCCACCCCCCCGTCCCTCTCCCATTTCCCCCCAACGGACCCCAGTGTGTAGTGCTCCCCACCATGTGTCCATATGTTCTCATTGTTCAACACCTGCCTATGAGTGAGAACATGCAGTGTTTGATTTTCTGCTGTCATGTCAGTTTGCTGAGAATGATGGTTTCCAGGTTCATCCATGTCCCTACAAAGGACGCAAACTCATCATTTTTGATGGCTGCGTAATATTCCATGGTGTATATGTACCAC